CGAGCGGAATGTGAAAGGGGGGAGAATAAGGGTCGGGAGGGGGTTCGACCCTGGCAGGGAGGCCTGGCCGTGACGATGCGAGCCCCGCTCGGTGCGGCGGCGGGGGTGGAGGCGGCGGTGGAAGTCGCGCCGCCCTCGCCCCCGAGAGTCGGTCCGCCCCGCCGCCCCCCGGGAGGGCCCTGCCACCCCTGCCACCCCCTCTCCTGGCAGCAGGTGGTTTGGTCGGGTGCGCCAGGCTACGCCAGGCCCGAGTCCAGTCAGTCTGAGTGCGGAGCCAGCGGCGGCCAGCCGGAGTGTGAGGCGTGAGCTGCGCGGGCTCGGCGCGGAGTGGGGCAGAGCGGGCAGAGCACCAGCGAGTGAGAGCGAGAGGGAGAGGTCTGCTCGGCCTGATCCGCGCCCCTCCCCCCGCCGCCTGCTCCAGCACGCGGCCTGCACGCTGCGCCTCGCGTGGCGCCCCGGGGCACCCCCGCGGGGCCTGGGGTAGCCCTTGGGGTTGCTCCTGGGGTAGCCCTTGGGGTAGCTCCTGAGGTACAGGGGGCCCTCATTAGCCCCCACGCCCCCGACATGCCCTCCCCCTGCACGGCCCCGGGCGGGGGCCCCTCGGGGGCCCGGGGGGAGGGCGACCCCCCCAGCGCTGCAGCGTGACTGCAGCGTGACCACCGCCTGACCTGACCACGGGGTGACCCTGCGCCACCCTGCGCGCGGCCTGACCTTCGACTGCAGGGGGCACCAGGTGAGTCTGCACTGCAGAGATCCGAACACGTCCAAAATCACGGCCTGCTGGTCCTCGTCGTAGCAGAATGTAAGGGGAGGAGAAAGTGGTAGCGCAGCAGCTGAGCTGTATTATTAGGATGAATAATACTCCAATTCGAGCTCGATCGACCACGCGGTGGGAGGAAATATGATACAAGGTTTTGTGACGAATGCATGCGTTAATTTACGTCCAAATAATTAGAGCTAAATTTGTGGACGGTGTTCATCGGGGTGCGGTCTTGTTGGACGTGTCATTCCCTGTAGACGGGTCGGTTCCCACCCGGTTAGTCATCTGCAGGTTATTCTCTAACGCTACTTCAGAACAAAAATACTTCCACCTCCGCGCCCCTCTCTAAAAAAAAGACCGTTGGACGAGCGATAGCCCGCGGGGCGGAGTGAGGCCGCCTTTGGTCCAGGCGCCGGTCTGCACGACGACAAGACCCGAGGCAAAAAGGGCCTCAAACTAACGAGCTTGCCTCGGTCTGGACCGGCGGGGCCGGGCGAGGCGCAGCCAACAGACCCTTACGACTTGATTTATCGAGCACCTGGGCAGGTGCCTAGTCCAGTCGAGCCACGTGCTGGAGCTTGGGGGGAAAGGGTTAACACGGGGAGATGTCTCAAGGGTGGGCAGGGAAGTCCCCGCCCGGGGGGGG